AGAGACAGTGTGGGAGGAGAACAGGAGGTGGCAGAGGGTAAGAGAGAGGGAACCAAGGATGGGGGGAAAAAGCAAAACATACAGAAAACAAGAAATGGGAGATCATTTGCTAAGAATAACATATTTGTTGATGTGATTGATTGAGACAATCAATCAGTGTACTCTAGATGGAAAATCTCATTTTGTATGCTGTAATGATGTACAGTGAATGAATGCAAATAAATAAATTGGGAAAAAAAAATACTTACAGTCCTCTGAAGTGATCCATTTGATTCTTGAGTCACAAGAGATTTTCAGAGGTTGCTTTACGTGTTTAACCTTTGCTTATATTGTCAAAAATTTCCATCCTAGAAAGGATAGTGACTTAGAAAATAGCACACATTTCCAAATCAAATGTTCAGACATTTTAAGAATAGGCTTTTGGCCAGCAGGTGGCGTGGTGCTTAAGACTCTGGACTCCCACATCGGTAATCATGGTTCAAGTCTCAGACCTGGCAGCTTGAAACACACTGGGTGCGAGTGTGTGCATGTCCAATATCTTGGAAGGAGAGTGGAGGAGAAGAGATTGCGGCAGGACCATCCCCCAGTGAGTGATTTCTTGCTCTCTGTCTCTCCGGCAAGCACACGCCCTATAGAAAAAAATCCTTTCCTCAAAAAAAAAAATCTATCAAGAGTTGGGGCCAGCAGGTGGCATGGTGGTTAAGGTTCTGGACTCCCACATGGCTGACCGTGGTTCAAGTCCCAGACCTAGTAGCTTGAAAATCATGTTGGCGTGTGTGTGTGTGCGCACACACACATGCATGTACCCAAAATCTTAAGAGGAGAATGAAGGAGAAGGGATTGAGGCATGGCCATTTCCCCTCCGGGGAGTGATTTCTTGTTTTCCCTTTGTCTGCATGTCTCTGTCTCTCTCCTCCCTGGTAAGTTCATGTGCCCTATGCAAAAAATAAATAAATAAATAAATATAAATATTAAAAAGGGCTGGAGTTGTGATATTTTCCCCCTACATTTTATTATAAAAATTTTCAGGAGGCCAATAAGGGGCGTAGTGGTTATGGTGCTGGACTCCCACATGTCTGATCGTGGTTCAAGTCCTAGACCTGGAGGCTTGACACTCACACTGGATGAGTGTGTGTGCATTCCCCAAATCCTGAGGGGGAATGGAGAAGGGACTGCAGCTTGGCCATCCCCCTAAGCGATAATTTCTCACTTTCTCTCTGTCTGTTTCTCTGGCGAGTGCACACGCCCTATAGCAAACACCTCTCTTTAAAAAGAAATCAGAACTGGAACCAGCAGTTAGCATAATGGCTATGTCACTGAACTCCCATGTAATCGATCGCGGTTCTAGTCCCGGAGCCGGTGGCTTAAACTCACGCCAGGTGTGTGTGCGTGCGTGCCCAGGATCCTGAGAGGAGAATGGAAGAGAAGGGACTGTGGTGTGGCCATCCCCCCTGGGGGGTGATTTCTCGCTTTCTGTCTCTCTGTCTCTGTCTTTCTGGCAAGCGCACG